ACACACTTTTTTGTTCGTTTGTTATTTGTGTTTTAAATGTTATAGATTTTTCAAGAAGCTCGGCGTAATACCCCGTCCATTATATATGTTCCTGGAATTGACCAACTCTGGACATTAACTGACAGTACTTTGCATGCAGTTTTTATTTCCAATTTACGGCGTATGGATCCAACAATTCCTATATTGCTTTTAGCTACATCTGATTCTCGATATCAAGAGTTGAGTGATGAAGTAAGTGAGTTCTGAATTTGTCAGAATATTATTTTTTTACAATTAGAAATGTGAGTGGAATGTAATTTGAAGATTAAATTTAGTTGCAGACTTTGTTCAGTGAGTTTAGAGGAGAGGTGTTAACAATGCATAATCCTCAGCCTCATGAACGAGAGATGTTCTTCCGGCCATTGCTTCTGGTGGAAACTGCTCGAATACCTAGAATTCAAAAGAAACATGGTAAGAAACAAATTATTGATACAGCAGTGGATGCTGGTCAAATTTCTCATATTATACATAGTTATTATTTTGTTCTGTTGTTAGTGAGTAGTACATGGGATGATTAAACTGAACTCAAAATATTCTTTGTGAAAAAGTTTCTACCTGCAAATGATCATAGATAATGATCCTTGTAGAGTTGAAGAGACAATGTCTAGAACATATCATATGTAATGAAATTAGGATATTTGCATCATTATTTTTTAAATCATTTTCTGAAGTTGAGCACTTATACAGTGCACCAAGAAACACTCTGCAATGTTACAATACTGCTGAGAATGCAAACAACAGAAATTATGTTAGATCACGAGAACCAGGCGGGGGTGGGTCTTCCGAAGGGAGGTGCACAAGCAGCGGGGGAGGAGAGGGTGGGGTGACTGTACCCGTTGTTTACTAGTGCCATGCATGGCAGTGAAGCTGATGGCAGAAATAGAGGCAGTGGCAGACCGATTCAGATTAGTGTGAAGGGACTTTCCTGGCATGCAGTATTATTTCAGTTGTGCTTTAAAGTGTATAGAATTTGTTCTTTTAATTAAAGAAATAGAATATGATGTTTTAATGCTGTGGTGAATATTTGAAAATTTTCCAGAGGCTCTGCCAGAGCTCCCATTGGCTCCTCCGCCAGAACCTCCCAAACTCTCAGAAGAAGAATTAAAGAAAGTGTATGATAAAGAAGAGCGGGCTCTGAGGGAGCTTCGTATCTTTCTAAGAGAAATTTGTTCGAAACTGGCTCGTAATAGACAGTAAGTAAACATCATCGTTAATATCGTACACATTAGAATTACGAGACTTTCACCATCTGCTATTAGTTCAGTCTTGATTATTCCTTTAGATGTACTTCTATTTTCAGTTCATGTATAGATTCAAATTGTGACCATCTATGAGAATTGTTCTTCTTTCATTCTTTTGTCATTGGCAAATCATTTCATATCATTTTGTTCTTTAAATTCTGTGTTTTTTATTACATATTGTATCCTGAATTTTTTTTTAATAGAGATCTTTTTGTTTGCCGTTTATATCTATGAGCTGAAAAGTACCCAAATAATGTCAAGTTTCCAAAAGATAATAACCTATTTCGTTGCAGTGAGCTCATCCCACTATACTCTTTTTGACAGTGTCAGCACGACACTCCTTCCCCCAGCACTGAATGCTTGAAGCGACTGCTTACACCCACATCTGCAAAGTGTGCTCACAGTAACAATATTATAGGCATGTCTCCCATTCTTCTTTGGATCAGCACTGATGAAGTCACTAAACTGAATCTGTTAGAATAAGTGAAAATAGAAGCTATTAAACAAATAATTCATATATCCAAGAGTGCAAGCGATGTGAATACAAAACTAGGCAGTAACTGAGGCAACTATAGCTTGATCATGGAGCTAACAAATAAATATTTGTCCATTTGAGAGTATTAAATATTCTTGTGGCGATGAGAAGAAAATCCAGTAGTATATGGAAGGTAGAGATATTACCATTCCGGAACATTCATCAGCAAAATGTGTCCTAATAGACAAGACAGTGTTAGGAAGATATGAGGAAGAAACAAACTGCCTAGGGGCACAAATTGTAAATAAAACTTCATGGTATCAAGTGAGAATACAAGATATCAACACCCCAGGAAAGGCAGGGAGCTGGTGATAGACTCAATGAAAGGGATAAGGAAAACATCCTACAGGTTCTCCCCTATATATTAAAAAACAAATACCTGAAAACTTGTTACAATATAAAATTGTCTTAAAATACATTAAATAAGTAAGAGTATATATTCTGCAGTTTATCTTCGGATTGCAACATCATCATTGTTCAGTGTCTGTTAAGTCCTGCTTAAACTAAAGTGTTCCTCAATGCTGCAGGATGATGTTTTGTCTCCCTTACTTTTCTTTTATTGATTTTAGTCCTTCCAATTTCCATTGGATATACTTTTTGGACATTCTATTTTGTTTCATGCATTGTGTATCCAAACTGTACCTGTTTTTATTTATGTGGATTTGTTTATATATATATATGCAAAGATTTTGTGAAAGAGCCATATCATAAAATCTTTTTAAAAAATATTATGATCCCCATAATTTATAATTAATTAACAGAATATCTGTTACATCATCCTCAGTGGGACATAGCCAACATTTGAAGACATTTGCTTGTGTGCGTGTTAATTTTATATCTTTGTGATGTCTTTAATGTAAAGTCTTCAGTAATTAATTTGTTATTTGTGTGTGTGTAGATTTTTCATGTTTTCCAAGCCAGTGGATGTAATGGAAGTTCCAGATTATTTAACTATTATTAAACAGCCAATGGATTTGGAGACTATGATGACAAAAATTGATCTTCACCGTTATGCCTGTGCTAAAGAATTTTTGGAAGATGTTGACCTGTTGGTTCGGAATGCATTAGAATATAATCCTGACAGGTATTGGAAACCTAAATGCATTAACCCTGTTAAGGTGTTTTCCAATTTATTAATTACTTTTTTAGGCTTTTTCTGTATTGATTATCTGTTGTATCTGTAGGGAACCCGCTGATAAATTAATTCGACATCGAGCATGTTCTCTTCGTGATACAGCTTATGCACTGATAAAAGCAGAAATGGACTCAGATTTTGAAGATCAGTGTCAAAACATAGCGAAGGCAAGGAGTAAGAGAGCAGAATCACCATCGAGGTTTGCTCCTGACTTTGTTCATACAAAACCTCCCTCACTGAAAGGTAATATTAAATGGTTATTTTATAATACAATTTTCTCATTGGATGTTACATGAAATTTTCTATAGATACTTAGCTGTTAAGGGTTCTTATTCATAATAAATTGAATTTTATTAGATGTACCCCATATTGGTATTTATTTGTAAGAAACATCATATTTTTCTTGTAGCAACTGAACCAGTAGAGGCTGAGGGAACTGCTGCTGGATGCAGCCAAGATATCAAAGAAGGTATTCAGTTGCTGTCTGAGAGTGGTGGAGAAAGTCATTCAGGTAAGCCTTCTTTGTAGTAGGCTTCATTAGTTCAACCTGAATCACAATTGTGAAATACAATTTTCTTTTCTTTTTCTGTGGTGTGTGTGTGTGTGTTGTTTTTTGCCTGTCCGTCTGCAACTTGCATAGGTTCTACTCGGTCATTATTGTTATAGTCAGAAAGACACAATTTTTGGATACCATATTTTCATTTAAATCAAATGAAAAAATAAAATATATATTCAATTTATGAAAATTGTATAATAAATACAGTACTGACAGCGTATATGTGACTGACAGCTCTCACCATGAGCTGTGGTATGTCATGTGACCTGCTCTGATGCAGTCAGTTTGCAAGGATTTGTTTACTTTTATCACAGCCAGGGTTCAGCGTTGCCGCGAATCTGACTCGCACTCAGTCACAGTGGTGATTAAGTTTGGTTGTGGCGAAGGTAATGAACATAATATCAAGACTTGTGATTGTCTGTAGGTAAGAGTTTTGTTTTGAGATTTCATGTATCTGTGTTGTAGGGGGTGCCATGCCGGAGTACTGTGTGACAACAGTCCATCGAACTGTCAATCTTATACGTTGCCGGTACTGTAGTTAATTAAGTTTCATAATCATGAAGATTAAGAAATAAGGAGTAATTTTTCTGAATGTTGAGATGTTTTTTTTCAATAATATTATGTTTAAAGTCTTTCTGACTTCATCAATTTTGTATCCCCCCAAATCTTTTGCCACTTTCCTTCCTTGACTTAAAAGATGCTAAATTCTTTCTGATTCTTATACGCCATTTTTATTGTATTGTTAATATATTACATTTATGAAGAAATTATAAATATCATGGAATATGTATAAAGCAAATTATATTTCTGTTACTGTAGTTATTTAATATTTATAATGTTCATTAATGCATTCAATTAAATTGCATTGAAGAGTTTATGACAAATACTCCACTAGGCAGAGTGTCAATCATTGATATAATCTTAGGCCTTGAATGCTTCAAGTTCACTACCTTGAATCTTTTTGCCACCATACATCAATTGATCAACTGGATGATTAAATTAAAATTCAATCTGTAGTGTAACTAATTTCCGCTATTGAAAACACAGAGACTACTTGATCTTACCTCTAAATCTGTGTGTTCCTAACCACTGATCCTTGTAAGGAAAGGTAAGGAATAAGTGTAAAGGTAAGGAAGAAGGAAGTTAAAATCTTTTTGCTTCAATTGACAGTTAAATGACAAAATAAACAACCGTGCTTGTTAAAATAAAAGGAAAATAATACATATTTCAATTTGCTTCACAAGGCCTAATAATTTATTTTATTTATTTATTTGTTTTGCAATGAGACTTCATAATTTGTTTGTAGGAAATCGAACAGTCGTGAAAACTTTATTGAACTCAAAAACACCTAACACTGAGCCTCGCCTACCAAAGCGTCGATGCTCTGCATGGGCCAGGGGTATTCTCACAAAATGCAGAAACTCCAAGTCCTTGAACCGACCCTCAACAGGAGGCTCTTCCCCAGGTTGTTCACCCAGGAATGCTTTGGAGCTCAAGTCGAACAAGCAGAATGGGGAAAACATTCCTGATGTTTGGTTGAACGGTACACAAGCAAAACTTGGTAAGAACTTTGGTCTTTCAAATTGCCCACTTGACTTTACAAGTGCTGCACTGATGCCAATTGAAATGTAAATGAGGTCATTATTCATTTTCAGGTGTTTTGAATAGCTCAGTGCATTCTTTGCCAAAAGAAGGTGACATGGTGGGTGCAGAAGATGATGCAATGGAGTTGGGTGATGATACTGCCAGTATTTGTGACATAGCTAGTCAAGATTGCTGCGACTTACCTCAATCATTTGAGGGTGAGAGTAGCTCTAATACCGTAGAAAGTGAGACTGGTATGTGAGATACGCTTATGTTTTCTTTTTCATTTTATGTGTTTATATTTACATGTTTTTCTGTGCAATGTTTTATTTATTATTTTCAAGAAGCTAATTCATTTGGATTTTATGTAAGTGAGTGTGAGTGAAATTGTGAAATTTTAAGTAAGTGTTTAATAGTCTGAGAGCATGATCTCTATTTACAGATAATAGAAAAGAAGTTGTGATAAGTGTAGAAAAGCTTCACAAGCTGATGGAGAAAACTGTGCAACTAACTAATGGTTGCCCCGTGGAGTCCCTTATTGAACTGTACATGCAGTACAGAAAGTGTGTTACACATTTTAGTAGGCTCTGGGACAGAACGTCACTACCTCAGGTAGGTTAAAAATCATTTTGAAGCTCAAAGAAAAAAATTCTGGAGATGTTTTAATGAAACATTTGGTCAGCGATAACAATTTCTTTGAGAAAACAAATTGTTGGTATCTATTATCATTCTCCTATTACTGTGTTTAATCTAACTTAAGATAACCCCCCAATTTTGAAGAGGTTTCCTCGAATTTTTAATAATATATAACTAATTCTTAATATTTAGTCGAAATAAAACTGCATATTGTAATTGACTAGAAAATTGTCTTGTTAATGAGAATGCTGATTGCCAGCCTGACACTTAAACTGATTGCCTCTATTTTCTTGTTCCTTAAAATCATCATAATGAAGAATTTTTTTACTACCTTCATCTTCACCTGCATTATTGTTTCATTTTGGTCCTCGGCCCACTATGTTCTGACTTTTTAGCCCCCCTTTTAAAGTTTTGCACTTTAGATTTACCTTCTTAATCTCATCTGATGCCAGATCTTCTTCCCGACCCGCTCTTGTTGATGCTTCTGATTGTTTGACAGTTCTTTCACGTTCTTTAAAATAATTTATTTGAAATTCACATTGTTTAATGTTTGTGTGATTGAGATAAACATGAACTTACTCATTTCCATTTTACAGGTAAAGTAGGGGATAGTGGCAAGTTTGGGATGTTTTTGCTTCAATCGATTTTTTTATTTTCATTTCTTGCAAAATGCAGATTTGCAACCACTGGACAGTGAATGGAGAATCCACATGTCCTCGTTGATCAGCGCATTGTGTAACAAAATCGTGGCAGTGCTTTTTATTCTTTCTCACTTGATATAATGTCATTTATTTGAGATTTTTTATGAGGGATTTTTTTAAGAAAAATATGGGGCTGAAGTACCTAGCACCTTTGCTCATGCTGAGAATTTCTGTGAATATTATTTGGTGTTAGAGGTATAAGTGACATTTTAATCATCTTTATAGCTTATTTACGTCAACATTTACGAGTTTCACGACTTGAAAAGTCAATATAAAAATTTTGTAACCAACTATGCCAAATGTAAGACAATTCAATATTTTGCAAATGAGATAATTGCAAAAACTGTGTCTTATATTTGTTTAAATATAGTAGTTGAATTTGAGGACCAAGATGCCAGTCGACAACCGAAGCTTTGTAAACTAGGAGATTGCTTTGACTGCTATTTAGTAAAACTATATAAGTTTTGTACATGCAAGTTGTCATTGTTTATTGAAAAGATTATGGCTGTATTTGTGAAAACATTTGAACTCGTTTTCACTGAAAACTTCAGAGTTTGTGAGAAACTTAAGTCTTGTATTATTTTGTATGATTCCTGCACTTCTGGCCAATAGAATTATTTAATGTGGCGTTTAGCATTTTGAATTATTTATGTAATTTTATTCAATGTGATTATTGCATATACAATAGATTTTATTTGTTTGTGTTACGTATTTACATTACTATTTACATACACATATATGGGTAATACATATAGTATAGAGGAAGTTATATAATACTGTGGAAAATTGATTCCAAGATTTCAGCAGAAATACTAGTTTTGGGGTCTCCTGGTATCAAAACGTCCATCTGCACATTGTCCCATCTGTCCATCTGTGAACAATACTAGTACTGGAACTATTCATAGGAGTTTTCTGAAAATCAATATTCCCCGGACGTTTCACTCAACTCAAAGCAGTGCGATTTTGAAAAAAATGACTTCAAATTTTGGGGGTAGTTAACAAGCCTCTGTGACATGTTTCTCAACAGTGGCTCCAATTTTGAAATTTTTGTAGGAATTGAGTAAAATTCTATTCTAAAGATGGCATAACATCATTTCCACAGTAAACTTTGAATTTTCAAAAATTTGAAATTTTTTCAGCATCTTCCTACAACTACAAAATTGAAGAAATAGTTTTCGCGCTGTTTGAGTGAAATATGTACAATATTAAAAGATAACAAAAACAAGAATTTCTCAATCTGCTCAAAGTTTTTTCTTTAAACGTTTTGTAGGGATAGTGCTACTTGTACTGTAACATATGACATAAACACCCACCCAGTGAAAATTAACTCAAAGTAATGCATTTTGAGAAATACTCAAATGCCATATTTCTGCTAAACATTGCTTATTATCTGAAAATGGTTTTCTTTTACAGGAATTGGATAAAGAATTAGAAAGATTTCAAAGACACTGTGCTAATTTGAATAATTCTACTGCCAGCTAACTCAAGATAAATCAAGTGCTCAAGTTCTTGTATATACAAGTAATTTACGCAGTAATGTTTGTGTTCTGAATGATGAAAATTGGCTAGAAGAATAATTAGTGTTATGACTTCTTTAAGTTACCGGTAATTAGATGTATATTACATATTTTGTGCTACGTTGCCCATCCTAAACATAATTTTTTATCTAATTATTATCATTATTATTATTATTATTATTTTCCTTTTTAAGACATTTTTGTGGTTATTCTTGGAAGCTTCTTTATAATAATTATTTATCTTTTTGCTGTGTAATTCACAACTCATCATTTTCTGTTCTTTTGCGTCTATTTTTATTTGTATTTTCTTTTCATTCATTTATCCTCTTCTTTTTACTTTCAAGCATGAGCATGTTCAGAATTTTTTGCAAGAAATATGCAGTATTATTCTAGATATAATCTGGTATTTAGCAGAAGGTTTTTCTTATTTTTTCTCCGTGTATGAAAGTTGAAAGAAAGATTATTAATTTTCATTTCACAAATGCTGATCTTTTTCGATGATCCAGTACATGTGGCTTTTCATTCCTAAATGTACAGTGAAGTATTATTTCTTCTTGCCTAATGTGCTGTATGAATGTATGTAAGGCATATATTAAGTTTGTTGTAAGAACTGCCTTATGTAATTAGAGACTGAAAAGGCTGACAGGAAGTTATTGCATATATTTAACTTGTGTTTTCTAATAAAGAAAACATTTCTTACTATTAGATGGGATAATTTGAAAGGGTAATTGCTTGAAATTGAAGAATGTTTGCAACTAAAGGGGAAAATGTTCATCCAAGATAGTTCAATGTTCTTTATGGGTAATTCTTATTATTGCTTCGAATGTTGTTAATACTTAATCTACATTTTGTGTTCATTTAATATTTTTGTCAGCATACATACACTGCTTCTTGCAGGAATTCACTCAACTGCACCAAAGTTAAAAAGTAGCATACAAAAGTGCGCTTTTGACATATTTTGTATTTGTCATAAAACCACACAAATAGATGCAACTTCAGTTAAATTGTCTCTTTAGGAGTACAGATGTCTTGTTCAATTTCATGGACTTGTTTTTGTTTCTTTACTTTCAATTGTTTCAAAATGTTACTTGTTCACTCATAAGAGATAAAGAACTCGTTCAATAACTCCAGTGAAAGAAGGCTATTTTGTTGGATACTGTGTTACAGTTGTGTCTTAAGATGTATAATTTTATTTAATCATCATGATTATCTTTGAGGATTTTATGCCTGTGTTACTAGCAATTTAGGTATATTGTGTTCAGACTATCTAGTTTAAGATAAACATAGTATGTTGTGAATTTGTAGGTTTACCAATGAAGTTTGTTCTTAGTGTGTATGAGGCTATATTGCCCAGTGTTTTTGCAGGTCATATGTTTTTTATTCATTAAAATGTCCTCATGAGGACCTTGTTCTTATCACTTCTTAACATTATGCTTCTAATACATTTATCTGTTGGTCATTGTTGAAATTCAGAAATTTGGAAAAAGGTTTGCTTTTCTGAAACCATCATTTGCAAGAGAACTATCCTTGGAATTGAATTGTGTGTTAATTTATCTTCTGTTCAACAATTTGGATGTGTGTTAATAATTTGACTTGCACCCCACACCTTAGTTTGTAAGAATTTATGATGCTAACTGCCCACTTAAGGAATTTGTGATGTGAGAAGTGTTTGAGAATTACATGCAAGACCAGTTTTGGTGTTACAAAAATGTTCACTCCATTCTGGTACTTGAAAGTTTCGGAATTTGTACTGAAGAGGAAACTGTAAATTATAATCTGTCTAGTACATTACACTAAAGTTTCAAAAGCCTGAAAATTTTGTAAAATTTCAATGTTAATTGCACAAAATCAAGATTTTACTTAACTTGGCTTTGTTGTAATCCACGTTCTGGTATTATTTATTTCCTGCAGAATAACTGACAAAGAATTTAATCTTTGAAATTAATACTTTTTATAGTAATATGAATATAAGATTTAATGAAATCAAACACATTATTCAAAGTAATCTTGTAATACAAATACTACTTTATTACAAGATTGAAGAACAGGAGTTTGATTTTGCTTAACATGCTGTTCTTGTTATAATTTCAAATTTGGAAATGGTAAGTCAAAAATTTGGTGTTATAAATGGTGGTTAGTAATAGATAATACAGAAATGAACTTGGACTTAGGAGAAGTTTCCATTTCTTTTCATCTCTTTATGAATCATAATCATTCCAACAATGACCGAGGGACAATGTGCAAAGTGTATAGAGCATTGAAAGGCCTATGTTTATATCATGTGTTTCTTGAATTCAATTACATGAAATGAATTCATTTTCTAAATTTTCACTGGTCTTATATATTCAGTATGTCTGAAAGATGAATGATAGAGATAAAGTGTTCTTATGTGTATAATGTTTGTGGTTGCCAGAAAACGTTAGGGTAGATGAAATGAGACTTGGAAAAATGAACCAGGGTTTCCAGTAGAATATTTTAATTATACTAAACACTGCCATCATAATATTTTGTGTATTATAAGTATGTGAGTTTGTGATGCTTAATGTTCTTAAAGTATGAAATGCCTATATTGTGATGTACATCAAAACTCAAGGAATAAGGTTTCTAATTTTCATTTATTTCTTGATTTACTTTTTTGAAGATTATTTTTAACTATTTACTATTGTGAATATAACTTCATATTTGTGTGTTATCAAGGTTTATTTATTGAATCCATAATGAGGGGTTGTACATTTGAAATTATGAAGATGGTTTGAAGTGTTTCTAACAATTTATTGTGACTGGATTTTGTTTCATAAACTTAGTAGCATTTAATTTTCTGTTATTTTATGAGACCCACTGTTCATTTCTTATCATCTTAATTACTTGTACTGTTAACTCATAGGGAAGGAATACATGAACCTCCTTCCATTGAACCAAATCTTTGTCAGATTAAGCAGTTGCAATAGTTAAAGTTACAATAAAACAAAAACATTTATCTAAACAATTTATATTTGAATGCAATGTGTTTGAAAAAAATAAATTTATAAGATTTAAAATTTGCATAGAAATTTACAGGTAGTTTCCATTAAATTTCCTATATATTATGCTCGTATTCTTTTTAATGTGTACTTAAATCGAATGAACATTACATACCCACTATCTGGTATGTTACTTTTTTGTTGAGAATGGCTTAAAGCCCTTTTAGAGTGCAATAATGGTAAATTTCCAGCATATTTTTGCACTTCTAGACAATGCAATTAACCTTTAATAAATCTCTAGCCTTTAATTGTTCTTCTCAATTTATGAATTTTCATTACCTTTTGGAGAGGAAAAAGTAACTCTAAATAATTTGTTAGTTATTAATTAATGTTATAAAAATTACTTTGATTCTTAACTGATATACATTTTATATTTTTTGATACCATAAAAAAGGGTCAAGATTATTAAACGGTATGAGGATACATAAATGTGTATCTAAACGTTATCTTATTTTATATATTTTTGAAAATCATTATATCATCAATGATTAAAATATTGTTTTGGAGCTTGTGACAATTTAAGAGGCTATTATTTTCTACCAAGCATTTATTTGAAAGTCATTGTTTACCTTCTGTTAGGATAAGGTGAGATATTTCTACTGGTGACCCTGCCTTACGTATGCTGCCAATCTTTGTTCTAATAATAATCACTGCCATCAACACGAGTGAGTTTTATCAGTCAGTATGTTTTCAAAATGCTGTGTGAATCCCAATATGTTTATTTACTTACTCCCAATGATAGATTATTTTCAGCCACAATGGTGTTAGGAATTCCCCATTCATTGCTTAGAAATCTCAATGGGATAATATACATATTCAAGAATTTACTTGTATCTCTCCGCGTAGATAACATAAATTGCATATATCTGCCTATTTGACCCATACTTATTTTGTTATAACTCATTGAAAAAGGTGGATGAAGTATATGTATATACATAGCTAAATGTTCTAAGAGAATGCTCAAATTCAATATGTTTGTCACTATTAACTTTGTTTAGTCTTTAAGAAATATTACTTATTCCAAGGAAATAATGAGGATTCCACTTTGGTGTATGAAGCATTCAAGCAGATGTATGTTTTATATGTGTATATGTAATTGTATATTCAATATATACACCGACATATATACATATTACCTGTCTAATTGTTATCTATGATGAGACACTACAATTTCTTTTTCTTGGAAGTGACAATTTGGTCTCATCATTGATGTAATTTTCCAATATGTGACACTTTGTGTAGAATTCTTTTTCATTTTAATTGTATATTTTTTTCTCATTACACCCGAGGTCAATGCAACAATTGTGGACATTTGCACATTTTTCTGTTATTTAAATGTTATTCATGTTTCGTAATATTGGCATCTGTCATTATTGTTGGTATCTTAGATCTCATGTTTCAGCCAAAGTATCCCCCTTATTTTATGGATAGCACATTTACCTAGTATGATTAATTTTTACCTCATTTGTTTATTTTCAAGGACATTTATATAAGATGTATTTATTGCTCACGTTTATGCCATTATCCCTAAATAGGTCAAGAAATATTGAGAGAAGTGTGCATTTTCACAATGCAAATGTAATTTGCCTTATACATATTCTTGTGTTAAATGAAATGATAAAATATATTAATTGTGCAGTTTTTTCTCCTTGCTTTTATTTTTGAATTTTTTTTATACATGTACCTCTGAACCAACTTATAGTGCAGCAGCTTCTCAAGTTGGCTTCTTGCTATTAAGTTAGCCAGTTTTACATCATATCTTTGATTTAGAAAATACAAAAATGTTTATAAAAGTGGTACTCAAAATTGAATGAGGACCTTGAGCCATATGAATGGCTGTTGGTATGTTCACACACGTGCGTGTGTGTATGTATATATATTACAACTCTCAATGTTACATTTTTGCTGGTCTGGTTCTTCTTGATATTACCCCACTTGCTTAGAGATGTGCGGAATCTGCAATGAAATGTGAATGAGACAAAGACTGAGATGGAAGGAAAAAGAGAGATGGACAGTATAACCAGAGTAATGATAATACCT